CAGTCCCTGACCTCACTTTTCCTTGACCTATAGCTTAACAATAGATCACCCCCCTGTGGCTTGAGCTCGGTATGTCCCCTGTCCCAGTTCCCTGTTTTAGAAAATTACTCTGAAACATATGATTAATAATACCCTTAGCTTATTGATCACAATCTCTATGGTCTAGTATTCTTTCCAGGCTACTTCCAGGCTACTTGATCCTGGGTTGCTAACTCTACCATAGAATTACGTGGCCATAGGGAAGCCTCCATGCAGACCCCTGGAACTGTCACGTAGCCTCTGGAGGAATGCCCAGATTTTCCCTTAATTACCCCCAGGCTAGTCTGAGAATGTTAAGGCAGTTTTTGGAGGTGTTAACCCACTGCTCAAGCCCAGACTCGTTTGGCCTCCAGTTTCATAATTACTACTGATAAGATGGGGTAGGGGAGGGGATGCAATGGTGGCACTAAATCTTCTATTTTGAGATTTGGACCTCTGGTATAATTTGATGTAACAAGTGGAATTCGGTTTGAGACTTTTTGAAGGCTTTCTTTTGTTTTCCTTCTTTCCAACAAAACTTAATGACTGTTGACTATACATTCACTAGGCATACCAGTTTCAATGATTCTGTTTACTACGGCCCAGTGTTGGCCCTGCAATGGGAGATGTTTTGTGTCTGTATGGGATCCACTTCTGGCTCCAACTTAAAGCTACACAACATCAGCAAAGATTGTGATAACCAGCTTAACCGCACCTTTTCCCACCCCAAAGAACAAAGCCGAACTCGATAAAAGATTCCATTACAGACTGAAGCAATTTACATCCTGGTTAGAAAATATAAAACTTCAGACGAAACAAAGACTCAACACAGTAGTTTCCAGCAGACTCTGCCCAACTGACCTTCCTCTTACTGTAATAAATGTTCCTTCTGTATGTCTACCTGCCTCGTGAATTCTTTCACAAGTCAAAAGCGAGCAACCAGAACAATTACTAATCACATTCCCTTTCACTTTCGAAAGGGTCCTGCTTGGTTGCCCTAAGGGTGGGTTCGTATGAGAGCTCTACATTGAGAGTGAAGCACAGGAGCAGATGCTGAGCTGCAGAGGCAGCAGGGCCCAGATCACACAGGCCTAAAGGTCACCTTCAGTATAGTGGGTCCTGGCCTCAGAGGCATGGGTGCTGTTTGGAGTGAGCTGCCTAACAGCATGTCTCTGTTGACCTGTAGCTGCATGTCGCCAAACACTCCCATTTTTCAAGAGAAGCCATAAATCTGGACTTCTCTCAGAAATCTCCCAATTAAACTGTCAGCAATTCATCAAAATCAAATAAACAAATAAAACCAGTGTGCTAACATGTCAGAACTTGGCTCAGAGGTTGCCAGTTTGAAATCTTTCTTTTAAACTGTAAATGGTTAAGAACTAAGGGTTTCAAAAAATAACCAAAAGCCTCTGAGCTTTCCCTGGGGAAAGGAAATCCACACCATCAGGACACACACCTTTAGATAAATCTCTCAAGAGAGAGAGAGGGGAAGTACCTTCCTTATGCATCTACAGGAGAAACAGTTCAGTTAATGTCTCTGTCAGGTCATTTTGCCATGAGGAGGGAAGGGATACAAGGATAGGAACCTCCCCATGGTGCTGTCAGAGTTTGAGAGACTACATTCCTGGAGGGCAAGAAGCCCTAGGGCCACATCTGGGACACAGAAAAAACAAAACAATTGCCAAATATATATGTTGAGTGAATGAATGAATGAATAGGTTTGGGTGGCTTCCTGTTCTTTTTATGTCCTCTACCAGAAGACAGAGTTCTCCAAAACCTATTTCCTTACATCGCAAAACTGGTCAAAACAATTCATGAGATCAGCCCAAGTTCAAGGGGGTAAAGAGATGGACCCCCCTACCTGATGACAGGAGCAGCAATGTCACATGGCAAAGAAGCAGGACGGAGGGAGGCACAATTCTCTGGGGTCATAATTATAACAATCCACTATGATGGCCCCAATAAGAGCCCTATTTCTAAGTAAGAAAAGGATGGTAGAGACTGAAGAGCTTTATTTATTCAGAAACAAGAGATCCCAGAAAAGTGAAGACTAGTACAGACTTCCCTGAGTTTCGCTGCTTATCACTAGAAATTTACAGCCTTGCTCCCTAATAACTGTGCAGTCGTACCAAGGTAATTTGTCACTAGAAATCATTTACTTTCTAGCCTGTCATAAAGCTCCTATCTGGCTGAATTCAGTGCCAATGTGGACTCTGAGTCCACAGGACCCTTACTGTCCATCCAGGGACAGGTGTCTGCAAATTCAGAGGCCGTTCCCTTTCCTGGGTCAATTAAGAACTTCTGGAGATATTGAGGACTTTTATCTTCCAACTTAAGGAAGAAGAAACACATCTTTAATGGATTTTAAGGTCAAAGAGGAAATTGTATAGAACCATTAAAAGGTGATCTGTTTGTGGCACCCCCAAGGACACAAAGGGCCATGGTCTCATCAGTTACTTTTTGATGACATCTTATTGTCCTTAAAATCAAACTGAAATTCCTCACTCTGGCTTACAAAGCACATGTGCCCAAGACCCTGCCCACTCTTCTAGCCTCACCTGTGCTCCCCTCACTGGAAAACCCCACTTGAGCCAGGTACCCTCCCCTCCCCAGGCTGAACTGTCATCTGTCCTTCCTATCACATCTGAAACGGACGTCCATCTAAGCCATGATTTTCTTGTATTTCAATGAACCACAGGAAATTTCCATTTTGGTCAACACATTTCACATGGTTCACATAATCTTTTTTTTTTTTTTTAAGATTTTTTTATTGGGGAATTAGGGGATGGGAACAGCGCTGGGGAATTGAGGGAAGGGGAACAGACAAGTTGCTGTCCCTTTGTTCTTCAGTCTAGTTGTGGAGGACGTTGCTTCACTGGCCCAAGTTGGCACCATCATTGC